CAATAAGAGACCAGAGTTGCCGAGCTTGTTGTAATAGATCGAAGCTCGGCATACAGTGCCATACTCGGTCGCCCCCTGATTCACGACCTCAAAGCAGTTCCATCCACTGACCATCAAGTTCTGAAGTATCCAACCCCAGCCGGAGTTGCGACGATCCGAGGTGAGCAGTGAACATCAAGAGAGTGTTACACTACTGCAATGAAAGGGACCGTCCTAGCCGCGGCACTCCAGCAGAAGAGTTAGAACTTGTCCCTTTACTAGGGCCGGATAGGCAAGTCAGCATCGGCAGCAGACTAGAGGCCGAGGCAAAGTTTACTCATCGGGTTTTTGAAGGCGAATTCTGACGTGTTTGCGTGGTCACATGACGACATGCTGGGAATCGACCCAAGCATAATGGTGCATAGGCTTAATGTAGATCCTAACTATAGGCCTGTAAGGCAAAAGCGTCGGCCTGTCGATGCCGAACGAAGTACTGTAATTTGTAAAGAGGTTGAGCAATTGCTACGAGCTAATTTCATAAGAGAAGTTCAATACCCCGCGTGGATCTCCAATGTTGTTTTAGTTAAAAAGTCTAATGGCAAGTGGCGCGTCTGTATTGACTTTACGAGCATCAATAAGACGTGTCCGAAAGATAGTTTTCCCCTACCTCGAATAGATCAGCTCGGGTACAACCAGATCCGGATGCATGCGCCCAACTAGGAACACACTTCGTTTGTTACTGAACAAGGGTTGTATTGCTACAACGTCACCCTTTGGTCTGAAGAACACCGGGACGACCTACCAACGAATGGTCAACATGATGTTCGCCAAACAGATCGGACGCAACATGGAGGTATATGTAGACGACATATTGGTAAAGAGCAAGCAGATGAGCTCGCATTTGGCCGACCTAGTAGACCTTCAACATACTTCGAAAGTATCAGATGAAGCTCAACCCGAGCAAGTGTGCTTTTGGGGTTTCGTCGGGAAAATTCCTCGCATTCGTGGTTCACAAACGTGGAATTGAAGCCAATCCAGACAAGATAAGAGCAGTCCTCGAGATGGAAGCGCCGAGGAATATCAAGCAACTTTAGAGGCTGAATGGCCGTCTGGCAGCTCTGAATCGCTTTGTGTCTCGCTCCACTAACAAGTGTCATCCTTTCTTCCAAACATTAAGGAAAAAGGGTCGGTTCGAATGGACCGACGATTGTGAAGCGGCACTTCAGCAACTAAAACAGTACCTGAGCACGACCCCATTGCTGTCCAAGCCACTGCCTGGGGACGTTCTCTACCTGTACTTGGCCGTGTCGGAAAATACGGTGAGCTCGGTCTTGATCCGTGAAGCGGAAGGGCGGCAGAGCCCTGTTTACTACACGAGTAAGTCAATGACCGAGCCCGAAGCTCGCTACCCCTGTGTTGAGAAGCTGACCCTGGCATTCGTGACATCTGCACGGCGTCTGCGACGTACTTCCAGGCGCATAAGATAATCGTTTTGACAAACTTCCCCTTGAGGCAAATCTTATACAAGCCTGAAACATCAGGCCGGCTGATGAAGTGAGCTCTGGAGCTCAGTGAGTATGACATCGCCTTCGACACGTAGGACAACATTGAAGGGTCAAGCAGCCGCAGATTTGAGGCCATGACGCCAGCCCCATGCCAACGTCTACGTGTTGCTTGCTACTCACTCGACTACACATGTCGGCTTGCCTTGATTTTGTCACTTTGGTGTGCTGCCCTGCATACCTCGATAATGGCTCGTGCAAGGTCCCCCTAGGCCATGTCACATGTCTCAATGTTGGGGTTCGACACCTAGCTTTTATTTGAGTCTTCCTTCACTCTTCTTCATCGGGTTCATTCTCACACCTCCAAACGAGGTAGGCATCTCTTATAAGCTACCCTTGCTCGTCTTCCCATTTACAATTTATTGCTCTTCCCTCCCCTAACCGAAGTTGTTGTTTCGTAATAACGATACAAAGACATGAGAAGTTTGCATCTTGCTCTCTAAACTTTTAATTAAAAAAAATAAATGTTATTTGAAAATTATTAGTTTTATTTAATATTCATTTTTTTATGTCATATTTATCTCTTTGAATATTTAGGATACATTTTGTAACTAACAATGCTTTATTTATGTTTTGAAAGGAAAAAATAAAAAGGTCAGAAGAAAAAAAAATTGATCTTATTGATTTCAGAATCTCTACGTGGGCTTCAAAACATTTCTTGACAAACAAGAGTGATTACCAAATACTTATATTTAACAAAATCTAAGAAAGAAAAAAAAAAGTTAAAAAAACTTTTTGTCCTGTACTTTCACTAAAATATAATTTAATCCCTGAACTTTAGTTTGTAAAAATTTAGTCATTGTACTCTCAAATTGGTAACAATTTAGTCCTTGAACTTTAATATGTAATAATTTAGTCCTTATAATTTAAAGCTTGTAACGATTAGTCCTTATCGTGAAAATTTTTCGTTGAGTTTCTTATATATGTAGATTGATAAATTCAAGAGAGACCAAATATGTTTATAAATTAGAAAGACTAAATTGTTATAATGTTAAAATTTGACAATTAATTATAATAAATTTTTTCACCATAGGAATTAAATTGTTATAAGTTTTAAATTGTAGGGACCAATTCTGTAACAACCCGTATTTTCTAATATGGTCATTCTAACAATACTACGGAAGCGTAAACAAATAACCATTATATTAAAGGAAAAACTTCTTTATTTAATTTGATACTATGACAAAAGATAAGGACAAGTCCAACCTTGAAACAGAAACTTATACTATAATGAAGCCAAAGAATAACTAGCAGATCTAACTAAGTTCTCATATGCTAAAAAAATGGAAAATATTAAAAATTTCAACTCCTCATGCTAGAACGCCTCAATCACTATCTGAGCAGTCACTTGAACCTTCATCTGAAAACATTTAGAAAATAGAAAAATGAGTACAAAAATACTCAATAAGCAATTTTCATGTCAAACACTGAAATTCATTTTTCCTTTTGAAACATTTGTAACAAAAATACCAACCGATCAAAACTTTCAAAATTCCTTCTAAAACATTTGGTACAACTTTCAAACTTTCGAATAACTAAATCATTCAAACATTCAAAACAATGTTACATTCATTCATATTTTCAAAATCAGAGTGGGAGGTTGCATTACTTGGGTAGACTACAGAACATATGTGGTTACTCGTTGATAACAACAATCAATCAGAAGCTTCCATCAGAGTTGTCGAATTAATATTGACCAAAATAGAGTTGCCGAAATAATATCGATCAAAACAAACAGAACGATTACTTAAGTGTGAGGCCATGTGAGTGAATAACACACGAATCTTCATTCCCAAAGAATGTCAAACCACAAAAGTGTCTTCCCCCATAACAGAAATCCATCCATTCCAAATTAGGCTACTACCCAAATAAGCAAAACATTCCTCAAAACAAAAATATAGCATATCGGATAACCCTATCAAATCAATCAAAATATCTTTCAAATAAATATGCAAAACAAATACATACTTTCAATATGAAATCAGTTCAAAATATTTAAATAATTTCAAACAAACTCTATTAAATCATATCAAACATAATTTCAAATATTTCACAAATAAACAAAATATCAATTTCAAACTTTTAAATAATTTCAAACAAAAACCTTATCAAAACATGCTTCAAATATTTTTACAAATAACCATAATATCAATACCAAAATATTTATCAAATTCATATTTAAACTTCAATTTCATAGGCAATATAGCAATTTCAAATCTTCACTTACAATACTTTTCGAAGAGATATGGTAAATCACTTACATACTTTTTGAATGGATATGATAAATCACTTACAATAGAATATCATAAATCACTTACCTCTCTCGAAAATCCTACAAGTCTAACTTAACGATAGTTGTCAACTTAGAGGCCTAGAAACAACACATATCCAAAAATTACTAAGCAAATCTTATCTATCCAATTTTCCCATTCAAAACACTTTTTTATGTAAAAACAATTAGGAAAGTATGGATTTAGGGCTACAAAACCAGATATGAAAACTGGGTTAAAAAGCTCTAAATTCAACACTAACAAACTATAAAATTACAAGAATCGGTATAAATCAATACAGACTAGATTTACAAAAAGTTTCTTCAGCCAAACAAGCTTAAAAACCTTCTATACAATTGAAAATTTTGAGATTTTAAATCTAGAAAATTTTCTGTTTTATAAAATAAAACTTCGAAGAATTTTCAATAAAATAATTAGCAATTTAGTGATTTTTATAGAAAAATCAGATCTGAAAAACTGTATAGAAAACCTTTAAAACTTGGTAAAAACATATAATTTTTCATGTAAAAACCAGACAATAAACTGTAGTTTATGGGATACAAATTGATAAACTTTTTATGCAAAAAGAGACTCAAAATAGCCCAAAAACAGTCTCATAAACAAAAATATCCAAAGCAAAAATTCTGAAAAATTTTTAAGGTAAAAAGTCCTTAAAATCTTTTATTCCAAAGACCTCAAAATTTTTCTCAATAAACTGAATTAAAGAATTACAGATCAAGAAAAATAAAACTAAAACAATGAGGAAGAAAAACTTACCGATCTTTGAGCGAAAATACCAAAATTCTTCTTCTTTTCTTTTCTTTTTCTCTTAGAGAAAAAACTAAGTCTAGCAGTTTAAGAAAATAAAACCAAGGGTGCATGAACTTTTAAAACAAACTCTAAAAAACCTTTTTTAAAAATGATAATAAAGATTTAATAAAAGTTTTTTATATATATATATTTTTCTAATTCTAAAAGCAAATTATTTTTAAAAATAATTTTTTAAAACAGAAAAGGTTTATCTATGAGAGAATAAAAGAAAACACCTATATATATATATATATATATATATATATATATATTTATATTTTCGATTTGTTACAAATTCATTACAAACTAAAATTCAGGGACTAAATCATTACTTTAATTGAAGTAGATCAGTGAAAGTACAAGAACCAAATGAGTTTTAAAAAAAAAAAATTCAAACAAGCCGTTTATTTTATCGGGGAAGTGATTTTGACTCCCAAACCACCCATTTTCTATCACTAAATATACATATTACACTGTACAAAGCAGCGAGTGTTCAGTTGGATGAAGATGACCAAATTAAAGCTAAATTTGTAATTTGTGGACCAATTTTGTGACATGTTATTTATTATATACATTTTTCTATGTCAAGAGAGCTCTATATCCCAAACAAATCATCATCTATAATCATGTAATGCATAGTAAAAATATAGTTATAGAGGCCTTAAAAGTGGATAATCTTCAAGGAGTTCTCGCTCAGTCAATGTGTCATTCTCATTCTGTGGTGTCCACAAAACTTCAACTGCCTGCATTCAGATTCAAATGCCAACAACTTTTGAGTCATTACCAATAAACAAACCAAACCAAAAAATGAAATGAAATCCCACTCTGCCAACTTCAACTTACTAATATTTTGGTGGTGGGAATGGATGCAAGTTTTTGCAAAGCTTCCTTCAACTCCCCACTGCCATTGATAGTTGGCAACTTATGCACTCCCTCAGCAGCCACCAATATTGTTATCTAACATACAACATGTTGTAATCAAGGGGGGCAAATATGGAAACCTATGTCTTTTTTCTCTCATCAATATCAGATTTTAATTCCACCAAAATGCATCTCATCTCTAATGAAAAGTTGAGATAGTAAAATATTCTAGTAACAGATCATCTAAAAAATTTGACTGCAAAACTGTCTGGAACGTTCGTCCACCTCAATAAACAATTTTCAACCCTACTACACTCGGCTTTGAGAAAACATTAGGAAATTGAACGTTCTAGATAAACTCCAAAAGCTTCAAACCTCAATTCATATGTTTATATTCAGTTATTACTGTAATGGAAGATATGAATCTATGATCTTTTATTTTTTGGAAAACTGCAAAAACGACACTAAGCTATAAAGATTTAGACACATCCTCGAACTTTCAATTTTATCAATAATCCCCACGGGCCCCACCAAGACCATAGCTCTGTGGTTAAGAAATCTACTCCTCGAGATGGGAGGTTCAAACCTCCATGTACTAAAAATAAAAAACAAAAAAATCAATCCCCCAACTGTGCATTTTGTAATATTTAAAGACTTATTAAAATAATTTTGCAATTTAAAGAGGTGATTAATGGTAACAACTTCATTAGTTCATGGTGGTTTTTTTGCTTTTGTTTTTAATGAATGATAGGTGGAATCTGAGGAAGCAAAATTAATAAAACCTTGATACCTATACTTTTCTATTGAAAATTTTTTCTACTTTTGTTCAAAAATTAATTTAATTTCTAATAAAATGAACATCTATTTGTAGTCTTCTAGAGGAATTAACTAACAGTAAATGTACCAAACACTTCTGCTAAATTTTAAAATTAACTGTTTAAGAAGAAACAGAACATCATATTTTTGTCCAAAATGAGCAGTTCCCCAAAATATATATATATATATATATATTTAACTAGGAGTCAGAGATTTGCTCCCCTATACCCAGGGGCACCTGCGCCCGCCCGAAGGCCTAGGTCCGGAGTAGAATATTATCACATCCACACATCTCACCAAAATAAAGAGAATAAGTATACTCCAAACACATGCTCTTAATCAAGGCAGCAAGGAAAATCAAGAAGACAGAAATTAATGTGGAATAGAAGACTGCATAAAACTTAAAAAGCACAGAAAAACTAACCACGATGTACTCATTACTAAATCCACTTGATCTCTGGCTGCTTGTGCTCTGCCTTTTGATACTATTCACATTGACAAGAGTTTCCTCATCAAATTTCCCTCGCTCTTCAATTGATAATTGATTGAAACGTTTCTCTCCAGCGTCTATGCTGCGTTTCACATCCATCTAAGTTTTTTTAAAAAAATGAAAAAGTTAACTCTTCCGATACTAACTACAGCTAGTAATGATTGTGAGAAATGACTCAAAGAAGGATTTGACAGTAAGCATGCACATTTAAAACAAGATGAGATGAAACTTCAGTAACATGCAACCAAGAGATAACTATGCAAGGGAAGAAATGTATAGAGAGAGGAGAGAGGACAAGGATTGATCAACATCTTCTTAATATTAGGGAAAGTTTAGAAGAACTATTCACACGTTCAACTCATCTAGCTGTTCGTGATTGTAAAGATGTTTGGAATCTATTGGGTTTCTTGTGTATTTGCTTATTGAAGTATATCATTTTACATTCCCCTGCCTTGTTCCACTTGTTTTATTCTTTGTTATGGGGCAATCACCACCAATCCTGCAACCCTTGAGAAAATATGCATTTGTTAACTCTGTGCAACTAGATCAGGTGATCTGCAAGAAGATAGTGAGACTTACAGATGAATAACCTGAAATGCAATAATCAGGATGCCGGAGCAGTGCTAGAATCGTCTCTGCAACCCAAAGGAAAGCAAAAACCACATAGAAAATAGGTTACTTTAACAGCACAACAAAAGAGCAGGCACATGATTACTACTCGAGAAGAACTCACAAACCCATTTTGGAAAAAATTTAAGATGGTTTTGTTTATAAACAAACAATACTGACTTAGAAAACTCATTTTATAGTGCTTGCTAGAAACAATTTTCAGCATCATTTGCTATTATGGAGTTTATTTTTCTGAAGTAACTGCTTATATGCAAGGATGAGTGCCAGTTTACTGCTTTCTATTCAGAAAGAAAACAGAAAGTGGGTTAATCAATTTCAAAATGAATAAGAAACCAGTAGTGTACCAGTTAATACGTAGCTTAAACCCTCAGGGGTTGATGTATCAGCACTTTCAGCAATTCTGTTTAGATCTCTTTGGAGTCTGCGGCCCATGCCCAACAACCCAACCTGGAGAGAGAGAGAGGATTACGTCATGACTTACAATGATGACATTCTTGCAAGAAATTTTCCACAAAATTAAATTTTAACTCCACTATCGACCTTCAGTTATCCAACAAGAAAGCCAATCCTTCAAAATGGCTACAGAGACAAATTTTTCCCGGTTCATTCAATGTGCCAATACATTATTACATCTGTTTCACAAATCATGAAACTGAACTTTACAACATTTTTTATTCTTTTTTTGTGGTAAGAAACCGAAGGAACCTTTCATTAAATTAAAATAACCAAAAGGATACAAAATAGGAGAGCATCAACCAAGTTAAATGAAAATTACAGAAGCTCTTTCAATTAAGACAAAGATTGGTCAAACTATGATAAAGAAAAACGAAATGGGGGTCTCAACATCTTTGAAGGTTCTATTTCTTAATTTTCTTTCCACCAATAAACAACCCCCAACCGAAAAAAATTAATAACAATTCCATAACATTAGAATTCAAGATCTTCCTCTCCTTGTTACAAGGATGGCCTCCATGAGCATAGGTGATAAGGGAATTACAGTGAGCTGGTAGAGCTGTGGAGGAAATGAGAGGAGGATGTTTCCTTCGATTCTTCCAGCAAAAAAATTCTTTTCATTTATGAATGAAAAGCTGTTTCTTGTTCAAAAACGAACAGAAAAATGATGATATTGAGTCTCATTATCTTCTTTTCACATAGAGGACATAGAGGCACCAGCTTGAAGAGAGAACCATATAGGGATGTTCATCCTGAATCCTTATTTTATAATTTGTTAACTTCAGAACATGCCAAATTCTGAAGATTTCATTTTTCAGGATTTCATACAATCAATAGACTTATCCTCTGTTTTTGAAACATGACAGTTTCCATTAAAAAGGAAGGGAACAAATAACGTAAAAGGCCCCAGGTAGTTGAGCATCCCCCACCGAGGAAGTTACAAAAAAAAACTCCACCAATCTGAGTTACTCAGATGGGTGGCGTAATTAAGAGTTACTCAGGTGGGTGGTGTAGTTAAGAGTTACTCAGGTGGGTGGTGTAGTTAAGACTTTATCTAAAGCACTCCCATTAGGGGCTATGTTCTGTACAATCCCCTCAAAACTATAAAAGACCCTACAAAAGACAGGGTTCAGAAAAGGCTGCCTCACACTGCCCTCTCCCCCAGCTGCTGCCATCTTTGTTATAGGGCATCAGAAACACAAGGCCACCAATTCATCACTTGTGATTTTGCCTCCAGGTATTGGGAAAGGATTCTCTCTGGCTTTTGATTGGAAGACAGCACAACACAACCACCCAAATTTCTTCCATAACAACATTATGGTTGGTCATCCTTTCAAAAAGGAGGGAGCAATCCTTTGGGTTCAACTTAACAGGGCCTTTTTTTCGGGGTTTATGGCTGGAGAGGAATAATAGGATCTACAATGACTCATCTCTTCTATTTGAGATATTTTTTGATAGAGTAATTGTACTAGCATTAAGTTGGCTTAAATGCTTCTACTGCCCTCACAATAGGTACAACCTAAACGACCTAATCTCTAATGGGAAGGCGTTCTTGTAACTTGCTCATATGGCCTTTTTGTACATTGCATATCATCAATGAAATATTCATTTTCTTACCCAAAAAAAAAAAACCCCTATAAATATTTTCGAGATCCTATGGTTTCCCTTCCAAATAGCCCACAAGAGGAATCTATCTGCATTTCTGAAAGGATTCTACGTTTATCTGTAGATAACCACATGAGAAACCATCCTTTTTTTTCTGTTTGTTTGTTTTTTTTCTTTTAGATCAGTAAACCACAAACCAAGAATACCTCTGAAAGAGATTAGGACTGCACCACATGCCACCAAACTTCTAGCATATGAAATCCCAGCCTCTTTTCTTCTTACCAAGTCACAGGGGATGAACAAGGGGTCTATTGTTAGAGTTCACCCAGATCAAGGCAAGACAACTAAAGGGTTCTTCATTTGCAACTGGTCTAGCATATTCAGACTTCTGTAAATCACTGTCCAAAAGAAAATTTTCATATTTTTAGTTGTATTTTCCTTCCAAACTATGCAAGTGATCTGTCCACTTTAAGTGATGTGACACTGAAGGGAAGAACTATTGACTTGTAAAAAAACTGGCATTATGTTCAAATTTCCACCCCACTCTGCCCACCTCTTGGTTAGCCACACCCTCCAACAGTGTAACACACTGATCCTATTCATCCAATTCTCTCTAAAATAAGTTCCTTCTTAAGCCAAGGTCCAACTTCGATTGATTCCTTCCAGCATTGTCTCACCATCTTTCCTTTTGTATTAGCAGTGGCATAAATGAAAGAATTCTTTGATGAACCTTTACCAATCCAAGTTTCTTTCCAAAATTTCTCCGTCGGATGCCAATTTTCGATTACCCTTTACCTTTACAGCTAAATTGGGCCACAAACAGCAATGGTTTTTAGAAGAATGGTCATTAGTAAACTGGCCCTTATTGTCAATGCCATAATTGCTTCTAACGATTTTCCTCCAAAGTTTCTTCCTCATGGATGAATCTCCAGAACCACTTGGACAAAAGATCATGCATTTGAATTATAAGCCTAAGCCTGTTCTCATTGCATGTCCATCTATATATATGGGTGCAAGCTAAAACCAAAAACTTGGCGAAGGATTGTAGACCCCTATCACCCCTCCTATCAAATTATCAAAATGTTTATAAACACAAAGTAAGAACCTCATAATGAAACCTTAGTCATACATTGATCGAATGCTCACTCTACATAATCAAAATGACAGCCACAGAACCCATGGCCTCTAAGGAAGTCAACCCCACATGTCCAGAACTCCAAATTAATCTTGTAATTATTCTATTCACTTTACTGCACTTAGTCTCTTGTAAAATGACCATATTTTCACCATTACTGAAAAGGACATCCATAACAAATGCTTCTTCTCTGACTTATCAGTTATCCCCAAACCTCTAGCATTCCAAAAGAGTATTATCTTCATAAAACCAATCAAGAGTGGTATATAATGTTTTAATAACCTTCCATTCTCATCTACAGACCAATAAAATAGCAGATACTTGAACTCAATGCTTCCAGATTTCCTTTAAAATTCTGTATTTTTCTTAACTTGATTCCTTGTAGTTATTGACATAATGCATATATCCACTCTCTTAAATCTTTTACCACCTTCTTTCACAAAGGGAACTCCCATGCATCACCCATTTAAGAAGTTTCTAAAGCTGTGGTATCTTCTTCTTATCTAACCATCTGCACAATTCGCCAATCGTTTCCTCCCTGACGTGTTTTCTATTTTTTTCTAGAATGCAACTATCAGCAATTTCTTCAGAAACATTTAAAATAGCTGAATTTTCTTCCTGAAAAAGCCTTGGAAAACCATATATTGCATTTGTTCGGGGATTAAAGGGCCAAATCTCCTTCGATTTCAGAGTCTTTGCACTTATCAGAAAAATCTGATATGTTCCAAGATATAACTGGAGAAATGTCTGATATAAACATTGACGAAAATCAAAGAACATAACGAACAAAGGAATTTGTACAAAACGCTACCATTTTCCTATGTTCAGCCTTTCATTCTGAAGATGAATGAGAGTAAACAGTATCACACAAACAGATACATTAAAACGAGAGAGAGAGAGAGAGAGAGAGAGAGAGAGAGAGAGAGAGGGCAGTGATTGTCATACTTGAAGTTTTAGTACGCTAGTTTTCTCGGAAGCAGTAAGAACACTGTTGTCGGAGCGATCGGAGAGAAATCCCGAAACCAGAAGAAACGCCGCGAAACCCGCCAATATGAAAACGAAACTCGAGCCAGCCCCTACTCCGACCCCAACCGCCGGCCCTACGTAGATCCCGCCGCCGCCAAACACCGACGGCGAACTATAAGGCGCGGAGTACGAAAACCCGGAACTCATCCTCGGAGTAGAGTAACTCCTCGACGACGACGACGAAGACGAGCGCGACGAAAACGAACTTCCTCCAACTCGTCCACCCGAAGCGGCCAATGCGGAATTAGGATCGTACATCAACAACAAACCGAGCAAGACGGCAGCAATTGCCGGCTTTCGCAACGCCTGGAGGGCGCTTGCAATCGAATTCGCAAAAATCTCCATTGGGGTTTCGGCCTTGTCTCCATAACGCAGTTCCGCCCACCCCGAATGCGAAGTCGTCGAATTCTTCCCCTTCCCGGAAAAGAAGCACTTAACTCCGCCCTCCATTCTCAATTTTCTGGTTAGCAAAAAGGGTTTGTAGAGAAGATGAGAAGGCGTAGTTGATCGAGAAGGGGAGGGAAGGAAATGAAGTGGGAAGCTTCGGTTCCATTTAAATGGGTGGGGTTCAAGCAATGAAGCAGAAACCATGGATTTTGGAATTTGGAATTCGGAGAATGGAACAGGGATTTGGATTTGGATTTGGAGGAGAAGATGAAATGGATATTTTTATTTATTTGTTATTAATTTTGGTGGGAAGAGAAGGATGCGTTTTGTTTTTCAGCAATTGTGGTTGTGGGTACGGGCGGTAGGAAATGGTGACCTGGCAAAGATTGTGATTCTCGGATAATGCTTGGATTCTCCCTTTTCTTTTTTTCTTTAATATTGTTTCTTGTTAATTCCAAACTTATTTAAAAATTAGGTTGTATTGTTGGAATTGTCAACCTGGTTACTATTTCCGACCAAAAAAGTCTTAGACTTCATAAGTTGTAATAATAATAAACAGTACTTCGAGATGAACATCATAAAATTTATCTATTTGAAGAGCATATCAGACCAAGTCCCAAGATAAGAAACCTCAATTGTCCAGAAACATTTTCTAAAATCAAGGGAAGTGTAATGCCGCAAGGGTATTTTCATTACTTTATATTATTATTGTTTTTTAAGTAAGCTGGAAAAATCTAATTAGCTTTATGCCAATAAACTTTAATCAATCCTAGTTAATAATTGTAGGTTTCTAATACTCTAACTATTAAGCTCAAGTTAATTTTATTTACTTATTAAAAAGAAATTTACAACAAAATTTAGTGATTCATCCTATCAATGTTTAATTAATTATGTATGTTAATAAAAAATAAATATGCATAAGAGATTAATAAGATTAGCGATATTATAATTGTATTTAAGTAACAAAATTAACAACACTACTTTAGTAATTAGATAAATGTTGTGAAATGTGGTAATTGTAATGGTAGTATTATTTGAGTATTTATAAAGTTTCATACATTTTATCCAAAGTTTTATTTTAAGGTAATTAACCAAGTAAAGCCCCATATTACCTTTATTTTACTCTTTATTTTTCTACCTTAATTAAATTAACTTAATTGAGTGAATATAGAAAGTTTTACTTAACTCATAACATGATTAGGCAATATAACCCACCTTTCACCCAACAGACACATGTAGTAATTAAGTTAGTTAGGAAGATCAAAAAACACTAACAATCCCATTAAGTAATTGGCCATGCATGAGGAGAGAGAAGAAGTTTGTTCCATCTTCCAAAATTCTTGTTTGTTTGATCTTCCAAGCCATTCTCCTTAAGTTACCTATGTTTGTTTCATTCATTTTCCTCCAAGAACATTTCTAAGCAAATCGGAAAATTTCCTCTCAATCATCTATCCTATGTTTTAAATCACACCTTAGAGGAGTTGTGGTTGCTTTTCCAAGTCCCTTCAAGGATCGTTCATTGCGGTTTTGTCTTTTCGGTAAGAATGGTTTCTTTTAGTCTAGTTTTGTAAGTAGATTTTTCCTAATAATTTTTATAGAACCTAAGCATGTTCATATCCATTTTCTTAGGTTTCCATCATCATTTCAAGCTCTCTTAGTTGCTGGAAAATTTCCTTTTTTTATTCTTTACGGTAGAAAGGAAAACGCACCAACAGTAAGCATCATTCTTCCTTGTGTAAATTATTTTAAGAGTTCATTATTAAGATAAAACAGGTACTGTTTAGGGCTTATTTTTATTGATTTGAGATCTAAAAATCTGAATTTAAAGGTTCTAAAAATGTTCATAAAATTGCTTCATAACGGTTTTTAACGGTTTATGTTATTTTCATAGTTTTAGCTTGTTTAGTATCAAATTTTGGATTGTTAATTCTGAATTTTTGAGACCATGACCAGCACCTTTAAACTAACCTAAAATGTATTTGAATGCATTAAAATTGATTTTTATGATTAGTTTTACCTATGGTTTAAAATTGTGAAAACTAGTGCTATGTGTTTTCCATAGTTTTTTGTAAATTTGCAAAATCAGTAAATTATTTTTATCGATATTATGGTATATAAATCAGAGGCTAATATGAAGATTTAAAATTACTTTTCACAAATTTATATATATTTTATGATTATTATGGACTAGGTTAATTATTAAGGGATTTCTACTAGTAGAATAGTGAACATATCTAGTTATGAGAACTTATTGGAGAAAGCTTAGATTAGGTAATTGAGTCATAATTTTAGTTGTGTTCATTGTTATTAGGAAGCTTTAAGGAATTTCTTTTAGTTTGCGAAGTTCAGGTAAGTAGATTCTATCATAAGTTACCGCCTTGTATGTTTTGTTGTATTATTGTTTGATTGTAAGTGAATTATGTTATGTGTTGCATTGTTTTGTTATTGAATTATGTTATTCATGTTGCTTAAATATATTTTGTTATTGAATGGTGATGGTGGTTAAATTTTATGTATTACAAAGCATGTTATGATTATTCTATGACTTTCTCATGTCATTTTAAGTATGTTTAATAGCAAATCATGTTTAGGTAAAGCATGACATAATGTGTGATGCATTGCATTCGTAGTGAAGTTAGTAGTCTTATGTGTCATGAATTTAGGTAAGATTAATGTTATGCATGAAATACCCAAATTAAGCAGTTATGTTATGCAGCTAGATGTATGATATGACATGTATGGTTTCTGCTAAAGGCTGGGCCCTAGGAAACAAATTAATTCATGTTAATGGTATTTATGGGGGTAATTACCCTATAAATATTACATGCGGTATTGATGGTTATGGTATGGAGTATTTCTATATAGCATGGCGCCAAGTTAAGGATTTATGTAAGTTTATGCTAGCAAGCACAAGTATCTTAAGTTAAGTTGTTCGTTGGTTTATATGTTAGGTTGAGGTATGCATGCATATAAGCATGATGTGTGTGTTTGAGCATGAAAGGTTCCTTATGATGGGAACTACTTACTGGGTATTTTTTTATACTCATTCCATGTTGTTTCAATTTTTTTTACAGATAGTTATATAGTTGACGAGAATAACGTCGAGGATGACCTGGGCATTGACGAGGAGGAGATATGAGACACAGTTGAATTTTGTTTATAATCTATACTTTTAATTATGACTATACCACATTTTTACTTGTTTTAATTAATGATAGTAACTTTGTGATTTCCGCTGCTAAAGATTTATAAGTTAAGTCTTATTAAGTTATCGTTTTCATTTTTAAATGAAAAATACAAGTTTTTATCTTATTTTATTTTAATAAAATTATGTTTTATGAGTAATTATCTCAACCTTATATTATTAATGACATATAAAAATTGAGGTCATTACAGGGAGAAACTAAAGACCAAGTATCATTAGGTATATCATTAAAGTCCTCACACATTGCTTGAACCGAAATATTACTCATCAGGTGTGCGTGGTGCACTATTTGCACAGTGGCAGCGTTTTTATCAAGCTCACTTCACATTTTTCGCCATAAAACATATGTGCTTGATGCCCAAACTACTTATTGCTCTCTTCCTCTAATGGTCTTTTTTCCTGCAATTAAGTCAGATTAAGAAGAAACTTAACTAAAACAGAAAAGCAAACACTTCCTCCTTACACCATGAATTGCATTTGTTACAACTAAAAGGTTACATATATGTAACGCCCCGCGTTACTCAGGTTAGTTTACCCTCGAGTCTCCGGGCCTCTTTTCTTAGAAATTTCTTTTTATTTAATTTCATTGTTCATTTCATTTTATTTCGAGATGCTGTGGTAATTGTTATGAGTGTTGAAATGTACTTACGTATCTAATTATTGGGTAATGAGGGAATTGTTTTTCTCTATAATTGTTCTAGTCCGTTAGGCCCAAATTAAGTATCTAAGTAAGTAGGTCTTCCTTGTTTTAAAACAAGAGGGAAAAAGAAAAGAACCAAGCCCAGGTGGGTCCCTTCTTGTAAGAACAAAAGGAGAAAACCCTAGCCCCCAAAAACCCCTCCCATTCTTGAACCTCTTC